AAATGAGGAGTAGCTTGAGACTTTTAAGCAGTACTGTATGTCACTTTGACAGGCAGCATACACCCAAACATTGCTTCAGAAACAACCACACCCCGACGGCAACAACACTCTCTGACAGCAACATACTCCTGCAGCAAACTACAGAACCCAAATGATCTGGTGCTAAAATCAGGCGGCAGACACCACAGAACACAGCCAGAGGGCCAAAGTCTGTGGGCTGACATAACAGAGCTGTTCTGGCGGCAAAAGGGAAACTAAGTAATGTCAGGCATTTGATAGATTGTATATTATTAGATCGATATTGCCTGAAAGCAGAATTGCTAATGCTGCTGAAGTCGAGGTCAGGCTATTCTAACTATAATAGCTTATGCACTCATTGTCCATAATGCAAAAGTTCACAGCCTTCAGTATTTTATAAGCCAATCAATTGTTTAAAACAAAACAAAGTAACTTCCTGTGATATAGTGGAGTATTTTTTACACTTTAAATGCAGCACATGAAGTAAAACAGAAATGCACAAGAACCTTCTTACCAGAGATTATTCATTACAACACAATACCTGTCTCATTAGCAGAAGGTTAGTCAGTCAACAACTTTCCACCATTATATACAATTAAATCTTCTTAAAGACACTCTCAAGGGAAAATCTCAAGTTGGCTTGTGATGTCCTGAAAGGAAAACAACCACCAAACACTCAGTAAGAGGATGCATTATGCTGAAGCATCTCAATATGAATGGCTGCAATGAATCTGTGCTGTTATATAACTCCAGCGCAGTGTGTTTCATCACTGATACAAACACAGGCAGTCTGCAATAGTTAGAGTAATTTAAATGCCCATGAAGCGTTACTAGTTATTTGTTCTTTTTGTCAGAAATATTTTCATTCTAACCTCTCATATTCATATTCCTTTGCCTACTTCATGTGATACAGTATCCTGCTCTAGCAGGAAGATTTAAAAAAAGAAGTAACACCTCTATTCTTATTATGTTGTGGTTATGTTAACAATCTGAATGTATTTCGTTAAGACCCACCAATGTAACACCTTTGTTAGCTTATGGGGCAACCCAACCCTGTGTGGTGCAACCACACAGGCATTTTGGCTTACTTGAGGGGCAAATAGGCTATCCAGTTGTCTCAACCTTGAGTTATGGCACGTAAGCTGAACTGGGAGACTGCCATTTAAATATTCTTGTGAAATTATATAATTTCTTTGTATCCCATTATTTTTATTTTTCTCTTCTTTCTTTTTTTTTTCCTGCAAATGCTCTTCTGGTACAAGGAATTGTCTGTAAAGTGTCAAATAGCATCTATGAGCTGGTGCATTTTCAGACTTATATGCAGCATAATTTACATTCAGGACTGGTCCAGTGTATTTGGAAAACTTATCTGGTTCATTAAGCATTAAATTAGCTGAACGGGAGAAAGTGTGGCTTTAGAAATCAGGGTGCAGTGCACCTGAAGCTGCATTCTCTTGTAGAGCCTATCTTTGGAGTATACCTGTTAATTGTACACTGCAGTTCTCCACACCACCATAGTCACTGTGCTGAAAGTATTCCCTAAGCTAAGTGTATTTTCAGTAAAGATCCATATAGCTAATTAGCCTCCATCAAAGTAATTTAATTAGTACTTTTAGTATAGAGTATATGTCTGATCAGTGGCTCACTGGATGAGTACCTTTTATGACCGTATTCTTTTTATTACTTGGCTTTGGTAACTTGATTGTGTACATAACCGTCATATAGGCGCTTACATTGGTCTGTTTTATGTGTCTCACTCGTTTGTTGAATTTTTCACCTAAGCTTCAGAAATACATACAGCAAATAGTTACTTTTCTACCTGTAATATCTGTGTAATAACAGGAAGACAATGTTTTTCATTTTATTTTCATTTTAGTGACTAGAGGAGCTGTAGCCTCCTCAAAGCTATGTCACTGACGTTTTCAAAACAGCTGACTGTGGGCTCCAAACCTGTGCAGTGTTGGGACTATATAAACTTTTCCAGACTCTAGACTCTGTGTGAGTTGTGACAATGTGCTCGGGATTTTTTTTTTTCTTTTTTCTGAGAGGCTACTCACCATTTCTTTCAGTTCCTATCAAATTTATCTTGCATGCAAAAACCCATGCTATCTCACTATAAAGAATTTTCATCTTTTCATTCTGGCTCCCTTTTCACAGTTTTAAGTGCAATAGGTAAAATAAATCTACTCCATTTCTGAGCTATATTGTTTCTTAAATTACAATAGGCAAGGAATGTGCAGCCATGCTTCACCGTGTATGGAATTACTGTAGCAAAATTAAATTATTACTTGAGTAATTACTTTTGCAAGGGGAACACTGGAGCAGCCTATGGTGACATTGAGACTCTAACGTTTCGGAGAGTGAAAATAATACATCTCTATGAGCACCAGCTATCTATTGTATTGAGGAAATTAGCCTGCAACTAATTGTAATGAAGAACATTCTTACCAGTTAATTAGTTGGTCACTACTGGTTTGGACACTTATAAATTCAACTCTCTAAAATCAATAGGCCTATATCTAAGCTTCATTTATGCCCCTGAATTTTAATTAAACTAATGAAAGATATACTCATTATTCACTTGCACAGGGAAGGTATATAGGTCTGCTTAATTCATGCAACCTTTCAAAACTGCAAATGCCTTTATTTAGTGCTGTTTGGCAATGTGCCCCAATGGAGACCATCTACCAAATTCTATTAAAAGTGGGCTTGCTGTTTAAAAAAAAAAAAGAAAAGAAAAAAGGAAAGCCATTTTTCATACTTCTGTCAGTTAAGTAGACTTTTCTTTTTAATGTGTATTTTGATTTTATAACAGTAGCTGTTTCCTTTCCCCTTTTTTCTTCAGCTTCAGTTAAATTATAGCATCACATTCACCCATCATCCACTTTCTTCTGATTCTGACATTTATTATTCATCTGAAGAACACAAGGAGTACTGCCAAAATAGTCTTTGTTTCCCTGTAAACTTTGAAGTCTCCTCCTTATTGTGTCAGAAAACAGGTGGAGCTCATGGTCTTATAGCTTTGTTGGTTATTTTGCTAAATTGTTATCAGTGTCGCTTCATCACTCTCATCGCTATAGACCAGCCATGCTGTTGTGAGGTCATAGGTTTACAGCTTGAGGGAAACATTTGGAGAATAACTAAAGGCAGCTGTTCTGAAATCTTCTGGCAAAGTTAAAACACGTTATTTCCTGACCTCTTAACCTGACCACATATAGGTTTGTTGCCTAAATCTTATTAAACACTGAAAAAAAACCACACATTACATCTACTCTCCCGGATCAAAGTACTGCATTTGTTCCATTCATCAAGCACCGCCTTCTTCTTTGCAGGTGTAGGTGCAGGTGTTCTGGCTCTTTGTATTCCTTCACCTAACTTCCTAAAGTCATTCTGCTAGTCAGTGCTGTATTTTCTTGTCTTTTTGCAAGAAAATTGCAAAGCTGTGCTAAAAAATATCTTCTCAAACTTGTATATATGTATATATACATGTATACAAATATATGTATTCATTTGACTAATCACATTGTTATTATCGTTGTTATCGATCAGTCTCTTACTATGACGCACTTGCATTAGGTACACAGTGTGTCACTAGCACACAGGATATTGGCCATTGTATGCCAATATAGATATTCCATTAAAAATCTTAAATTATTTATAATGAAAGAGTCAATTTAAAATGGGAAATCTCTTCAAGTTTATGTAATAATAGATGAACAAGGTCTTTTTCTTCTCTTTATTCTCAAAGGTGCTCTGTTGGATTGAGACCTGCTGACTGTGAAATCCATTTGAGTACAGTGAACTCAATGTCAGGTTCAAAAAAACAGTTCGAGATGTTTTGAGTTTTGTGACATGGTTCATTATCCTTCTGGAAGCAGACAACAGAAGATAGGTACTGTGGTCATAAAGGGATAGACATAGTCAGCAGCTCTGGTAGCATTTAAATGATCCTCAGCTGGTACTAAGGGGTCCCAGAATGCACGTGCGTGTATAGTTTTACAATGCTGAGTGTTTCTTGTCTTTACCTTACCTAGCCTAGACAGAGGGTGTGTATCATTTGCATATTATAAAGTTGGCCCTCACAAGCAAATTTATGTAAAGTGACTCAGTGGCTGTAGAAAATTCCCAATACAGACATATTTTAAAAAAGTGCACAATTGCAAAGCAGAATGTTGCATATACAAACAAAGTAGGTGCAACACACTGTAATATTTTCCAGTGTTTAATGTTTTTTGTCAAATGCAATGCCATTGGTGTAATAATAACATAGGAGTAGTTAATTTAAAATTCTGATGCCTACTGGTTGTATGCACCACATTAAAGCCCAACTTCAGACAGCAGACAGTCAGTTGGCAACCAACTGATTTTCTTTCACTGCTTTCAATACGCAAGCCAATTATATGATCATATTACAAAAATACCCCGCAGATCTATAGCTCTAGGCAAAACTGACACATTATTGTATCTTTTTATTCATTTTCTTTTTTGTCTGCATACTGGAAGCTTTCATGCCCAGGTGAGCTCTCAGAAATGATAAACACACTCCTTAATAGCTTCTGTGATTTTTATGTGCACATGAAAGGTACACATCAGTGGTTATGTCTGCATACAGATTAGTGACACACAATATGATGTTTTTGTCTGGTGCTTTGCCATATGTCAATTTAGTTAATCATCTTGTAAAACAGGCAGGTGTTTTGCGCCTAAACCACTTTAACAAGAGTGAAATGAATGAAGGTTCAGAGCAGCGATTAGTATTATATTCAAAGCAAACAGGTGCTTGACAAAACAGTAGTATTTGCCGAGGTTATGCATGTGCATATCTATGAAAAACAGACACAGGCAGAAACACGTACGCACAAAGAGGAGAGTACTGTAAGATTATTTTGAAATTCAGTGCATTTATATTGTATTAGGGCAAATCAGAAAAAGATTACAAGAAGTAAAGTGTTGTGTTGTTTTATTTACAAACTGCATTTACACGTAAATATGTATGTAAAGGAGGAATTGGTAAGATTATTGCTCTGTCATTAATAACCCCCCATTTTTTTCACCATCAAATGAGTAATGAAACACTACCTAAATTAAGAAAAAAATAATGTCCTTATTAACCATACTAATATTAAGCTTACCACAAGATAGATGTATTCCTTAATTTAATTAGCACATATAGACGTTATGGTGACCGGATTTGTTAAAAGTATTGAAGCATGTTTTAGTAGTAAAAGCACCTTGAAACCTGATCATTTACCTGCACTTTGTCTAGTGTATAGTCTGTACAATTAAATGAATTTGAGAAAAATATAATTCCTATTCTTAAGAAAAATTTCTTTGCCTCACCAGCAATCTTTTGAAATAATTTAACAAGTAATAAGCTAACTACTTAACAAAAAATAAAGGAAAGAAATGCTAATGATCTAAGTTCTATAGCTAACTGTAAGCTAGCCAGTGTAAGTCTTGCTAACAATTTGAGAGCATGTTTTTCAGTTTAGATAATATTAAAAGGTAAAATTATGCCAGCTCAGTCCTTATTCTTGGAACATAAGAGGATATATTCAAGCAGCATGTTTGACCGCTGGGCATGGGCGCACTGTTTACACAGCTTGTCATTGTTAGCAACCAACGGTAGCTCGCTAATTCTCTAAGTTAAAACTTGGAGGGATTTGACAAAAGAAGCTTTTTCAAAGCTAAAAAGAGGATGAAAGGGTGAAGGTTAAGCTAGAGACTCGAGAGTTTTCACCTGTTACTTTAGTTAGCTAGTCTATCTTAGTATAAGGTACATCATGTATAATTGCCCAATTTTATGATGCTTAAAGCTGTGTAGATTAGTATATGTAGGCAATATACAGTTGTGCAAATTTTAGTAGTTCCTATTTTCTGTTAATTTTAACTGAAGTTCTGTGAAAGTTTTTACAATCATTAGGTGAAAATTTAAGAATTTGCTAGGCTACAATTGATAACGTTTCTCATCTGATGTGAACAATCACTGTAACTGAAACAAAAGACAATTTTAGTTTATCATTTTGTTGTTGTTGCATTTTTATGATAACACATTAATCATTTTTATGAGGCAGAAATGGCTTTCAGCTGTCATCTTCATAAACCACCCACACCATCTCTTGCAAGTAAAACAGTAGATTAGGTCATGTAGTGTGATTGAGTCTCTGGAAATCACAGGAGTTAAAAATCTCTAAAAGGGCGCTTTCTCTCAAATGACTTTGAATCTTTTTTATTATTATTATTTTTAAGGGCACTGAACATGTAAACCTAATATCTTGGGGCCAGAATCAGCATGAGCATCTGTCGCTTGCCACCCCGATTTTCCTTTGTTATCTGACTCTCCTGACTGTCTATTAAAGCTGAAATGCCAGGAAAAAATATTTCATAGGGCAAGTCCCCATAACTATAAAAAGATCTAGAGGGATATTCTCTTGTGATTTAAAAAAAACCCCCCAATGCTTTTGTATTCCAAGTTTTAAATGACAGTGACTTCTGCTTAAGAACTGATAACTTATTTTCATGTATCTCAGTTCATGTTGCATGCATTTTATTCTTTAAAAATTATACAGAAGATATATTAAATGGGAATAAATGTCAACGTGATGACCAAAGTGATGACCAGGTGTCCGTTTACAGCAAAACCTCAGGTTTTCAATTTTTAATGGAGAAAAAAAAAAAAATATATATATACATATATATATATATATATGTATATATCTCCGGGAACCTGTTGAGAATTCTGTGTTTGCCTCAGAAATGCTTTAGAGGAAAGGTGACAAGAATTTAAAATGGACTGCTCACAGACAAAACAACATCAGCAGCAATGTGTCTTTTTGAAATAATGTCCTGATTACTCTGGATAATCTGCAGACAATACCGTGAGCAGATTTCATTGGAGCTCCCAAAGAAATGCTTCTGAAAAGTTTTGACAGCTTATGATTTACTGAGGATTTTAGGATAGCAAAAGAAAAATCCCAACCTCATACACCACACACAATCTGTCTTTGCCCACAGAGCAGCAACCCAGCAACAGCTTGGCTTTTCACAGCACTGCGAGAGGATTACTTTGCAAGCAAAGATTGTGGAACAGAATATGCTGGACTTTTATTAAAAGTTCTCGACCTCATTTGTGATCTCTAATCTGGCCAGTAATTAGGTATGCAATCCAGACATTACCTGAGTAATTAACAGTGAATTAATTCTATATATTTAAGGTTACATTTTATGTATTTGCACATAATTATTTAACTGTAAACTGTATTATTTCCTTATTCTAATAGATGTAGGACTCAGTGGATTGTATTTCTCAGCTCTACCAATACATAAACTTAAGCAATCTTATTTGCAACTGGTGCAGTCCAAAAATAAATAAATAAATAATTTTGCAATAGCTGAATGTATATATGCTTTGCCAGTAGTAACACCTTTAGGTTACCACAGCAACAACCATTTTTCCCGAGTAAGACCAAATTATTGTTATAAATAATACAATAACACAAACAAAGAGCTTACATTCAAATTGACTGATGCAAACTCTTTTAATAGTGTATTTCTGATAAATACAGTGTATCCTGAAGGACCATTAAGGCTCCTTGTCATTTTCATTATTTCGTTATTTATTGGTTTTACTTTAAGAGTAAGTTTACCCAAATCACACACACACACACATATACTGGAGGTGGTACAGAGCCTGTTTCTGCTGAAAAATAAATCAGTTCATTAAAAAAAAGGACGGAGGAGGGGGGTTAACATCACAAAACAATTTTCCAACATTTGGATTCTTGTGACTCCAGTGCTAACACACCAAGTCACACTTTTAAGCATGAGATGAGAAAAGTTCTTATAGCGATTCAAAATTAAAAGAACTACAGGAGCTCTAAAGAAATGTTTGTGCTAAAACAAAGAAATTTGGCCATCTGTTTCATTTGAATTTGAATTTCTTTCAAGCCCTTGTCTCGGTTTCTTTTTAGCACAATGCTTGAATGTGTATCTCGGAGTGTGTGGCCCTGTGGTGAAGGGGAGGGTGCACGAAAATCATCTGTCTAAACAATTACATGTGTGGATCTTGAACACCTGTTTGTACTGAGCAGGTGCCTTGACCTTTTTCTTTAAACAAAACTTTAGGATGCTAAGTAGTTTTAATTCAACCAACACTTTTAACAAAGACAGCTCTTTTTGTTAAAGAGATTACAATAATATGGATGTGACGAAACTCAGTTCGGACAGTGGTAAACATTAGCAAACCCTCACTAGGTTTGGATAAAGTCTACGCTCACAAGCCTGTCAAACCTGCATTTGAAACATAAGTTGTTGGCTACCATATAGCAGTATAGTATTGCAACATGGCATTTGGTTCTTCTAACTAAAATAGTATGTGGATTGAGTTTGTTGCTGTAGCACAGGGACTGCCCCTGAAAGCTGCCTTTATTAAACCTGCTCATCATTCCGCTTTATAATAAAGCATAACGTCTTTTTTATAAAGTGATGAATAGCCAGGTAAGCATGGATCAGCATGAATACGCGTTGACACGTTTTGTATTCTGCACATATTTACTTTTAAGCTTGGCTTGGATAATTCTAATTACTGCTAATATAAAAGTACCTTATTATCAAGTAAAGCCACATGCTTAGGGTCTTTATTGGGGATTTTTGATGAAATCATAATACATCAAACGCCATGCAATACCCGCACCTGGCTCTTTTAATAACAGTTTGTTTGAACTGCAATCGGGCATTTATTTTACTGAATATCAAAGCTGTTTGACTGTGTGCTAGTCTTGTTTGCTGAACTCTCTGTCAGTGAACATTTCAGTAATAATGACAGAGTGGGAGGGCCACTCGGTGCAACTAATAAGGACAGCGATCGGGCTGGCGATCCCACTGTGACTTTTATTTCCAAGTCTTGGAATCCGGAATCGGACTGGTCGTATCCACACATGGACTATGCTTTTGTCGCGGTTTTTTTCTCTGTTTTCGCCTTAGAGGAAACTTTGTCAGATACTGTAAGTACTTGTACTTATGGATCAAATTAATTTCACAGTAAACGAAAATTTTAAAAAAGAAGAAGAAAAAAACGGCTTAATGTAGAAATCAGCTTGTGAATTTATTGAAAACCCCCTTTTAGCGAGCATATTTTGCTTGTTTTCTCATGAAAGTGTGTTTTTGTTTTTTTATTTTATTTATTTGTTTCCCTACTTAAACTCCCGGCTTCATCCGTGTAACTTGTGCTGGGACCCATGCCTTAGAAACGGCTTATTTCTGATTTTCTTGCAGCTCTGCAGTAGTAAACACGCACCACATTTGCCTATTTGTTAACCGCAAATTACGTAATATTCTAAACACTGAACGAATATCAAGTGCTACGTTTCATACTTATTAAAAAAAATGCTCAAAAGCCCACAGCCAATCAGCGGTCGCGCATAGAAACACGCTTCTTTGAATATTGCATAGTTGCACTGAGTTATTGCCTCTGAGCGAAAGTGGCTGAATGACTGATGGATCGAACAACTTAAGTGCGCACGGTTTTGCCTGGTGCCTGTGATGCATACGGGCTCATAGCCTCCGTGTAACTACCTTAAACTGCCCCTGTGTCCGTTTAGTTGATGCGGATATAGAGCAGCTGTGTACCATGCTGCTGCACCGGGGGGAGCGTGTGGGTTTAAAGTTGCAGCTTAACTCGCGCACAGACCTCGATAATATGACTGCGAGTTGTAAAGGTGTGGAGTAACTGCGACAGCAGGGTCCGCCTGCAGAGCCGCGTCTGTTGCATGCATTTGCAGAAATGACCAGAATAATATTACTCCTCCACGCAGACACGGAATGTGATACCTCTGTACTGCCTGTGACGCTTGCATAGACTGGCTGTAGGAAGTGGCATGGCCACTTCATTACCGAGCGCCATGATACTGTAGGCCTGCATGTAAAACTTTATGATCAAGTGGGGGAAGGCTTGAAGGGTGGATGGGAATTATGTATGTATATATAAATGTATGACACTCCTTTCTATTGCCTTTTTTGTAAGATAGATATTGGAATTACCTTAATTTGCTGCAGCTGTATTAGGGCCTTTTGAGATCTTTTTTAGGAATGTCTTCAGAGTTGTCATCCATGGTGGAAATAGATAAAGTCTTTGCAACTACGCTGCCACAAATTTAAAATCCTCCAAACTGCTTATTCATTAGGAGGTCACTTCATACTTTTAATGCATAATTTTAATATAGCACAATAAAACATGAGATTTTATCATGCACAGTACCTCAAGTGCATTCAGATTCTTTTTAACCTGTACAACTTGAAGTCCTTGAAAGTCGTTGAAAAAGCCATGCGAAATTCTTTTACCTTCTGAGTTCATCTGTCAACATTATTTTGGCAGCGCCCCAGTTTTTCAGGCAGAGCAATCTAGTCGTTTCTAAAAGTGTTAGTCTGAAAAGCCCACTAAAGTTGAGGGTGCTTTACCGACTGTACTTTGGAGCAAACACTCACCATCCAGTGCGACTACCCAAAAAATGTGTGGCACCTCTGCAATGGCACGAGAGTAATCCAGAAGATTTTGTTTGGCAGCATAGTGAAATGGTTCAGGGGACTTTGTTGTAACTGGAGGTTTCCAGGTTTGATACTCACATGTGATATCCTTGAAGAACATAGTGTTGATTGAGTACTACATAAATAAAAGATCAAGGCTGTGGCAATATGATCAAGAAGCCAATCCCATATAAAACCCATCGTACAATTACTGTCACACATACTGTAAATATAATTTGGAATATTGATTAAAAAAGAGGAGAGCAGATGAACAGACTGAATGGATTACAAGCTGTAAATGGAGAAGCTTGGCTCGCTGGATAAGCAGAACTTAAAGAGAAACATAGCTAAGTGTAAACACTGCTGTGGTATAAACATCTGAATTCATCACTGTATGAAAACCTTAATTAGAACAAAACAACGAACAACGAACAACTCGCCAGCTTCACCATGGTGACGGAAATAAATCCAAAGTAAGGCTTTAGGGACATTTGAATGCACAAGCGAGTTAGGTAAAGCAGGAAAATCAGGCACATGTTAGTGCTGAATTCAATTCTGCAATAATACAACTTGCATATAATATAATGGAGTCATGTTTCTAATAATGAAAAGAAGTGATTAGAATGTGACAGATGTGTGTATATTATTTCTTCCTCACTTGAATGTAAACAACTTTCTACACTAGATTGCTAAATGAATCCAAATAAATTAAAAGATACTGTTGCCCAACATAATAGCATCCTTATAATAAAATGGGCTCATTGTTTTCTTGGGCTATTCTCTGTAATACAGCGTGTTTATCCATTGTTTAACTTAACTAAACTGAAGCTGAAATTAAAGCCATGTTGTTTCCATCCAGGTTTTCAGGTGGACTGCTTTCTAGAGCCAGAGCCATGATTTGCTTGTTAAGGTGGACTGCTCTCCTTTGGACTTTAAATTCCATTCCTTGCGCTTTGGGGATGGCAGTGAGCGAACAATCAGGTACATGGGTTTGTTGTCTGCAACGTTTTGCTCCTAACAGCATATTCCTTTTAACAAAATAAGATTATTGATGGTGATATTTTACGAATAAACTACTAGCTCTGGACTCTGATCTTTTATTAATGTCAATTTGAAGAAGATGTAGACAGAAATATTTAGACTCTATTATAATAATAGACATTTGTCTGTGTCCAAATCCATCTTCATCGGTTTTTGTTTGCAATGACTTTACTTGAATCCAAACTTTTGATTGATAAATATGTTACACAACAATCAAAATGCATAAAGCTGATCTCCATTTCATTTTTTGTGAAGTTGATGTAGCCACGTCTCTAAATTGGATCCGACACTCTCGTTTCTTCATTTTTTTTTAATGTTCTAGCAAAACTTTTAAAGATTAACAGAAACAAAACAACAACTTTTAACTGATTTTTCTGGTCTGATGTGTTTTTTCTCCTTAGGAAGTTTTTGCCTTAAAAAAATTACAAGAAATGCACAGTGGAAATTATTTCGTGATGGATTCACTGTCTTTTCTGTAATCCTAGTCAAAAGTGCTTCAAAATATAAATGAACATCTGCACCCAACACAAACAATTTCTCGGTTGCTTTCCCCTAGATGGCTCATGCCCCCCTCTGAGCGTAGAGGAACGCAGGTTTTCTGATGTTTTAGATCGTCCCCTGGAAATCACAGGTAGGTACCGAATGAACACGGTGGCTTTGTGGGGATGTAGACGTCGGCTTGTTCAAATCTAGTAACGCATTGTAATCCTGTCCCGCAGGATTTGATCTCACAGAAATGTTTCTTCTCCGAAAGGGAACAATCGCAGAAGACCTGCCATCATTTCGATTAGGAAGCAGTCCACTTATTAAGCCAACAAAGTAGGTAGCATTCACATCTGTGCTAGGGGTGCATGTGTGTGTACATTCTTCATTATTTATGTTCGCATTGTTCACTGGGAGAAAACCTCACAATACAACCATGCTATAAAAATGTGTGTCCAAGGCTATGATCAGTATTGAGCTGCAGGCTATTGCTCTCTGGCTCCTTCATGTGCTTATTTCTTATAACTCAAATATTGCAGGACCTTATGATATTTTACTGCTAATGTGTGTCTTTATTGTGGTGGCTATAATGAGAATTTGAGCTCGCTTTCTTGGATTTGGCTGAAGAAAATCTAAATAAAAATAAACAGTGTAGCCATAACTGAATTTCACAGAAGGCTTGAACTGATGCAACCCAGATACACCCTGCTCAGAGCAATAGTTCTATTTGCCTTGGCTAATAAGGGCAAGCAGTGAGGTGAGCTGGTAGATGGGGAATAATTTGAACAGAATTAATATATATTGCATTTTATTCTTGAAATCTCATAAGGGCAAAAACTGGGACATAAAGGAATGGGAAAAAAGTCCCAAGCTTGTATAATAAGACAGGAATATTAAAATGACTATGTAAATGACACATTCACTTACTGAAGACCTTTATTCCCCAGTCATCTGGCAGGGTCATGATGTGGCGTCACCTTGCTGCTGCTGATGTGACGTGTATAGTAGCATCATATTTTATAGAATTTATAAAAGCCTATTGCCCTTTTTACATTTGTATCACATGAGACCTGGGACATAAGTGAAAGCGCGATGGTTTGCATAACTTATACTGAGGTTTTAAAAATGAATCCTGAGATATTCATTGTTTTGTGTCCTCGGGTTGTAACAGTGAAAGAGAACACTTTGTCATTCTTCCAGGAGGGCAGGATATTTTTAGTATTTTTATATGCAACTGTAAACATTTACTGCCTCCCTCTCTCTCCCCCTCTCCCTCCTTGGCTGGGTGAAAAAAAATCTTTGAGCCAGGTGATTTGTGATCTGCTTCCCTGTTCAGTCAACCAGCTGAAAATACATTCACTTCAGCCCTTCACTCAGTCTGGGCCCATAGTGCAAGAAGATGCTGCCTCTCGGTGACGCTGCTGACAGTGTCATTGGTTATAGTGGCAGGACTGCGATCCCTCTCATATCCAATTATCTAAGTACTTTGACAGGTGATACTGCATGTCAGCTGAGGAGGGAAAGCGAGGGCAATTGCACGAAGCAGGAGGCCCCAGTGCCCCTGCCACAGCCAGTAAAACATTGCTCACTCCTCTCGCAGCATATGCAGCAATAGATGCGTAGATATGGCTGATGTTCTGCCCACTCCTTGGCACAATACACATTACGGTTCATAGATCACTGCTGACACGCTCGTGGAACATTTGTGTGAGGGAGCACATTTGCCCGGCAAAAAGCAACACATATTCATCCATAGAGTATTAAAGCAGAGTGTTGCAGTTGCTCCCAGCATATTTATAGCTTATTTATGTCTGCTCTGGCTCTCTTTGGATCATATACTAACTTGTGTCTCACATCTGAAATGCATGTTGGTCTATGGACTACATTTTAAATATGTTTAAATGGTTCTCAACTGTCTGTCTTACATATTGTTGTACATAGTTTAGCAACTCAAGCTCTTCAAGCTTCAGTAGAATTTGCAATAGACTCCATTTTTGTGCTCAAATCGGAACCAAGTTCTGCTTTCGAGCAGGTACTGTAGCTTTTTTGGGGTGTTTTTGTTAACAATGCAAATCAAGCAAAACAGGAATTTAATCAGCACTTCTTTTTAATGTGACTGCAAAATCTTATAATGTAGCTTATGCTGAGATTTGTTTAGCAACCGACAGTTTTAGCAATTTGTAACTGTTGTGGCAGCTTATTCATCATACAGGCTTACTGTGGTCTACTAGTTTACTAGTTTACATTCTACCTGGGTTGCCAATAGGGAAGTTGCAGAGTGCCCTCTTTGCTTTCACATTAACTTGCTGTTTGGTTATGCAGAGCTATCAAAACCATGTAATTAGTAATTACTCCCGTTTAGTACCTTTGCCCTACATGTAAATTGTGCTTTAAGCACAGCCAGTGTATTAAACTTCTGACCAAGTGTCCATATGTTAGGATTTGGACGAGAAGCTGCTTCACTATTGCCACAACACCAAAAACGCCAAAGGATACTTCTGGGACGCCAGTGGCTTTGACACCATAGGAATGAGGATGAGCTCGTCTTACAAAACCTAGCTACCTTCGTGCACCTCAGCTGTACAAAGTAAAATGTCTATATTCTAGATCAAATCCATGCCAGTAAAAAAACTCTTCTACCGAACGTAAACACATAAGGTGGGCTCACGTTGGGAAAAAGAAGTAATAGCCATTTGGCGCTTGAATGATGGATCTAGGGTAAAAACTGACACGGTAAAGTCAACTTTGAACTGCGCAGAGATTGAATGTCAGTGATAAGGACGCGAGCCAACTAGGCTTGCATTTGAGATTTGATTGTTTCAGCTGTAGCAATCTGATTCCTCTAGCTCAGTTTAAAGACTCTTCTTGGATAGGATTTATTACAAGGCAGGAGACTTAAGTCTCTTCCATAAGATTGCCTGCCAGAAAAGTGGTGTTGCTGTGATAATTCTGTCAAACCATTGTGTCAGCCAAGCAACGCAGACAGTCAAAAGCACGTTCCAAGAGTGGTGACAGTTTCCAGAAAGCACATGATCACTCCTTATAAAAATGGAATTAGCTCTGAGTGTAATTCTTGTGTCAGGGTGTTACTCTGCGTGATCTTGTGTGCTTCTCTTATTATGGTTGTGCACACACAAAACTATTGTAATGCTCTGAGGTGTTTTTCCTCTGCTCTCCCTTACTGCTATGGACATTCCATTGCTTTGGCTTGAAACCCAGACCCTACTTCTTCACACTGTAAAATACAAGCCTATAGTAAACAGTCATTATAAGGTTTGCATTGAAACGAAGATTTACTAATGAATGCGATCTGGAATGCATTTCTTTTTGTTCCAAAGTGTATTTCCCAATACAAATTATTTTTATTCAAATGGGACTTGTAAAAGAAAATGCTGGCAGGATCACTTACAGTATGTTGTGGAAGTGTTTTGCATGTGTACTAGGGAAATTGAATGCAAATCCTTCTAAGTCATGCAGAGTAGCACTTTCCCAAAGAATCAGACAAGCAGTGTCAAAACAAGTAACACAGAGCTCCACATTTGGTCACTTAACCACCGGGGCAGTCAACATGAGGTCAGGGTTGGCGTAATCACATACAGAGATTATAAAAAGCTGTTTTGGCTGTGAACCAGGAGAAATAAATGGAAATTTTCTTTCTTTTTTTTTTTTTTAAATTCACTCATTATCACCTACTAAATCATGCTGAGTAGCATTTTACCAAATAATTAAACTGTGGTCAAGGTAACCAACCCTGAACTCCAGGTTTAGCCACTTAGCCATAGCAGTCAACACAATGTCATGACCTTTAACTCTCTAGCCTCTCAGAGAGAACTGTGCCAGCCCAGTGAAAGAACTTTGTGAAAAAGGGTGTAAAGTGTGGTACAAATAAGAATTCTCTTATATTTTATGATGTTTCTTGCTCCTTAATAATGATGTGTAATCCATTTAGTACAAATAGGTACTGTATGTGCAGCCTTAAAATGTTCTGCACTGCATTTATTTTCAGAATCTCACTTTTATAAATTGCCACGTCACTTTTGATATTGAATTGCTGCTGAAATAATCCTTTAGCCCTTAGGCAACAAATGACCTTCCCAGTCCTCGGCCCCTCACGGAAGCATTTGATTTTTCAGGAGCTTTAACTTGGCGCATTTATCATTTTAGTCATGTACTGTGCACACCAAAAAAATCGCAAAGAATTCAAGGGACACAATAGAAGAGGGTAGGAAGCTCTGAGAGAATAGGAGATGATATATTGGAGTGAAAACTAATTTCCAACCTGTCTGAGGAAACACTCTCTCTCGCTTCCTCCCCCAGGCTGTGCTCTGCCTTCTCAATGACCTTATCATTGCATTATTATTATTTTTGCTGATCTTGATTTATTATGTTTATGCTCTTCCACTTTTGGCTGTTAATTTGAGTGTGGAGTTGGGTTATAGGTTATAGTATTTTGAAGGATATAATGTTTTTTGTTTTTGTTTTTTTTTAGCACAACGTATAAAATAGTGAAAGAGAGTGAGGGTGTGGGCTGAGCAATGAGTTAGTGAATAAGATGTAAATCATTTGGGAGTGGGTATGATTTGAAATATGATATTGTTTTTCTTATATATTCCAGTTTTTTTCTGTGTATTTTTCTTCTGCTGGAGGAAAGGAAAGGTGTGTTATTTGACTTTACAGAGTGGCTGAGGTCATAGACATAAACCCTCTGTAACTGTGCGTGTGCGTCGTATGTCAGCGAGGTAAAAGATTGACTTCTGTGACTTTGGATCAATGTCTATATGCTTTCATCCATCTGAGTGACAGGGAAGCCTGTATAAAATACATCAAGCTAAATGGAATTAAGTTTGTCAGGTTTATTTATGTGGATGTCTCTGCAGCAAGAGGATACTGAAATTATATTGATCACTGAAGCTGATTGGCTGGTTCATTATTCAGTCCCTGAAAGCTTTAAAGTGCCTTACATTCTGCACTGAAAAATTAAACCGGACACTGTTATTCAATTTTTAAAAATTATTTCAAAGTTAAATTTAATATTGGTGCTCTGCTGGAATGTAACTGTTCCTGATGTTCTTTTTAGACTGATATTTCCAAATGGGCTTCCAAGTGAGTACTCCCTTGTCTCCATCTGGCGGGTAAGAAGAACTACAAAAAAAGATCGGTGGTATCTTTGGCAGATATTTGATCAGTCAGGAGGCAGTCAGGTTAGTGCCAATATATATTTTAATTGTGTGTAATAGTTTGAGTATGTACACAGATATGGTGCGGTGACAGTCCTCTTCTTTACATCTCAGGTCAATGTTGTGGTTGACGGCGACAAGAAGGTGGTGGAGTTTTCTTTCCAGAGCCTGCTGAGGAACACTCTCCGCTACACTTTTAAAAGCCGTGACCTCCATGCCCTGTTTGATCGCCAGTGGCACAAGCTGAGCATTTCTGTACAGACCAACGCCGTCTCCATTTACATGGACTGCAAGCTAATAGAAAGAAGAGCGACTGATGAGAGGGCCAGCATCGACCCCAGTGGGCGCACACTGATCACAACACGAATAGAGGATGGACGGCCTGTAGATGTATGTCCCATGATAAACATGTGTGGAGCACTTTTTTTTTTCTCAACTGCAAATTTAGCAGTTTGTTATTCAATATGTTCACTTATCCAATATGAAAGCACCCCTACTGCTTTCAAACAACATTCAAAACATGTGTCAGGTGCATCTTAATCAGTTTAAGTCTTCAGTTTTACACATGTTCATGACATACTCAACACATACAGTGCTGTGCAAAACTCTTGGGCCACTCCTCATTTCTTTATATTTTGTTCCCAGTGAGACAGGCTCGAGCAGTTGCTCTTCAGTCTTTCTGAAGGTCTTTCAGAGTTTTTCTTTGGACATTGGATACTTTTTCATTCATTTTCAGTCCACTCCTTGTAACTTCAGGGGATTATTTTATTTATTTGTCAAGACACTTAAATCATAAATCAGTCTTGTGTCTACACATAATAGATAATTTGGGAAATAACCGATTTAAAAAATATCTTTAGGCACTTTGTTTCTAGCAGATTGGTGCCAAACATATATTTTTTCCCCCATTTCAAATGTCTGTCAAACAGTCCAGTTTGACAGGCATAAATATTGTTTTTGCACCAATAAGGTGATTCCCAAAGAACCAGATAATTTCAGAAAACTGGACAATTGGAAAGCACAGCTATTTACAACAGATGAACATGATCTGAAAGTCATGTCCTTAAGAAATAGGGGGGGAAAGCAACAAAGATCTGACAGATGCATCTGGCCCATTTGTTGATCCGTCTACGGTTCACTGAAGCCTCAACAGAAATGGCCAAGGAAGAGGAACAGGGAGAAAAGGCTTAGCTATGCTAAATTACATACACAGCCACAAAGTGGCAAAAGGTCTTATGGAGTGATGAATCCAAATTTTAATTTTTGGGGTTCAAATTTATGGAGCAGGTTTGCAGAAAAGCAAATGTCTACAATCACTTGTAAAATATGGTGGAGGCTCTGTAAGGGTTTCAACCAGTGGTGTTGGGGATCTTGTCAAAACTGATGGAATCATGAACACAGAAAAGTACTGGGATGATATGAGATGATGTGGGATGAACTTGAATGAGAACATAATAAAAAGCAACCAACATCCAAAGAAGAGCTTTGTATGTCCTTCACGAAGCCTGGAGAATTATTCCTGAACAGTACTTCAACAAATTACTAGCAAGCTTGACTTCAGGCTTTGCTGAAGATTAAATAATAATAGTGGTGGTCATAGCAAATACTGACTCTCAAGCTCATTTGAATAATATGTTGCATTATAAACTATATTTCCACGTATGTTTGCACATTTTTTTAATGAATCTCTGTACGTGTTTCCAATTTTCCTAGCGAAAACGAAAAAATGAGGGGTGGCTAATGACTTTTCCACCATACTATAATAGATGGATGCTTCTACTGTAGTGTAAGCTTTTAATGTCCCCTTTTGAAAGCTTGTTTTTCGGCTTTTTTTTTAGCTAACACTAGCAAGAATGGTTAGCAAGCTACATCTATAGATTGTTGGGTTGCTATTAAACAAACAGATAAAATACATGAAATTCACTCAACAGAACTGGAGCAAAAACGTCTTGGACAGGCTTTTAGTAAAGTTTAACCACACAACAAGCCATATCATTTTTCAGATAAATGAATTAAAAATAATCTAAAGGCTACCAGCACCAGAAGCAGTCCAGAGATCCAGTTACGTCCACCTGTGTGAGTAGAGTTAGCAGACAACTAGCAGCCTAGTCTTCACCCACCTGTCACTTCAAGCAGCAGCAGCGCTTTTAATGCAAATGGGTGACCTATAAACAAAGTAACTCCTGTACAGCTTTTACAAAAGTGGGAAATTAGTTAAAAAGAGCATATTTATTCACTTTTATTCAATAATGCAGTACTGGAGAAGAAACGTGTTTACTGTGCTGAGCAGTAACCATGTTTATTCATGTTTATTCACGTCAGGCACTTTAGCGCTGGAGTCTGTTGGGTTGCTTTTGGAGTCAGCCTGAAGTGACTATTCAGTGAACTGCATTTGTTGGCACTTCCGCATTGGCTTCATTTTTCAGCCCCGGAGGTGGCCAAAGTGCCAAAAACAACAAAAGGTCACCTTGCCATTAGGTCAGCCGTGCCTCTGGATAGACCTTGGCTTAAGAAGGATTAACAGCTGACTTTTTATCCTTTGTGACTGATAATAGTATAAGTAACACCTCAAAAAAACCAACAACATAGGTTTCAAATTCTCCTCTGAACCAGTTGCAAGTCATGCGGAAGTTGAAGCTTTTTAAAAATATATGTTATGTTTTTAATGTGGTGCTTTGGAGATGTTTTGCAGGCGACAGGAGTTGCAGCGTTGGGACATTATGGCTACAGTAGCTGACAAGTGAACAAATTGTGCTGTCTGAGCCAGTGAAGTGTAGACATTTGTCAGTTAAAAGAGGAGCATGACGAGATGACGAAACTGTTGAATAATGCTGTGATTGTCTCCACAGATTGAACTGAAACAATTTCTAATCTACTGTGACCCTTACATAGCTGAGCTGGAAAACTGCTGTGAGCTCCAGGACCCAAAGGTAAAACGCTTTAACGCCTGAGAAAACAACTGAACTTACTATTATTATTATTTTTATTTACAATAAAGACTAAGAGCTTTAAAAAAAGAAATTTGTGTTTTGTTATGCATTCCACAAGTAAGAAAATAAATTAGGTGACTTTTTTTTCTTTAAAAAGTGAAAGACATTTAAGCTTCTTGGTAATCGTGTGCCACATACTGTACGGCTCAACTTTAACCATTACATAAAAGTGTAAGAAGATTTTTGTGTCATCCAAAAGAACGCCCGGCCCCAGTTAGAAATGTAATAAGATAGAACTTCTATCATCATAAAATCATTAAGAGCTAATGTTACGGTGATTCCAAATGGAGACGTGACCTTTGAACTCTTGTCATTGCATCTCTCCCTAAGCATCCTGCCATGTCAGTGTAAAGTTACTCTTAGAGAATTCTCACAACCTTGAGAGGCGCTTATGACAGGTTGTAAGCTTCACATAAGCATGAAAAGGTTGTCTGGGTGAAGTGTGCTGCACGTGACAGTGGCTTGATTTGTTTTTTTGCCCTGAAGCAAGAACACAAAGGAAAGCGTCTAAGTAGTGAAATTTCTGTATTGATCCAGTGTGGAGCCGAGAGGACATTTAATGGGACTGCCCCTCCCCTGGTTACAGCTCAGATCCCCTTGATGCTGTCTCAGCCAGCCCCACAGTCCATTGACAGATGTCACTGTCCAGCTGAAAAGGTACACTCAATTCAACCCAGCAGGGGCTTCTAATTGAGTGAATGTAATGGCTGCTGAAACTGAGCCAGCCTTTGATTTGACGCCATGTGTACTCAATCCGATATGGGCATTCTAGAGACGTTTAAACACCATTTATATCAAAAACTATTTTTCTGCAATGCCAACCAAACACATTACAGTCCAAATGTATTTACAAATGCAGCTATAATTCTCCCAAGCATGGCAAATATGCACTGTGCAATAGATCTGTGAAGCTGTAAGGAATTCTTTCACCTGCAGATATTAATGTTGCCTTCAATAACAAACTAAGACGGTACAGCCGCAAGGTGATGTCTTTTATCAGTGGAAATAGATGTGAGATACTGGAATATACTCGGATAGTAAAAAAAAAAGATTATATTTTTAAGTAACATATGACTAAAAACATCATTGCTTACTGCAGGTGCAGTATATTACTTGTATTTCTTTACTGGCAAAACAGAAGTAATATTTCTGTTATTTCAAATGCAGTTATGGTCAGATGCTTATACACACTCATCATGCACGTGAATGTCGTGGTAATTTGGGGCTTTTTAAATTTCTTTGAATTGTTCTTTTTCCAAGTTGGAATAACTGTACAACATATATCTTTAATCACTTAAAAAAACAAGAATTTGGTGCATAAGTTTCAGTTTATTTTGGATTTTCTTTCATCCACATAAGGTGAAAAGTATACATACAAGCTCAAATACATAAATATATTCGCAAAACACTAATCTGGATTAGGTGGTGCTTACAGTGTCTTTTGACTTGACAAAGCCAAGTCCTATTGACATCTCACTAATAGTGTGATTCATTCCAACTGGTAGTTTCTCTTTGCTAGCATAAAAAAACTGACAAATATCACAAAAATGGGAAAGTCCAAGGTTTTGGATAAAGCCGGCTAACATTAAGGTCGAGGAATGGCTTCACAAAAGCCCCGACCTCAGCCTTATTGAAAATCTACCTAAACACTATGTCTGTGCCAGGATATCAACCACTTTAAATGTACTCTACCAGTTCTGCCAAGAAGAGTGGTCAAATAACCAGTCAGGATTCTGCCAAAAGCACCTGGTTGAGGTGCAACTTCCTAAGGGAAATTTAATCAAATTTTAGTGGGTGTGTATGGATATTTGAGGCTGTGTGTAGGCTCTGACCCTGTGTGAATTGGAGAAAATCCAAAATAAATTCAAACTTTTGCACCCAATTGTTCTTTTTTTAAAGTCATTAAAGATGTATGCTGCACAATTCTTCCACCCTGGTAAAAAGAAAATTTCGAAGAAATCATTAAAAGCCCAGTATTACCATGGGATTCGTACCCACGATGTGTGTAAGTAAACAGCTGACTGCAACTGTATGTTAAAAGATTCATGCTGTTGATATAAATGTGTCTACGTATAGTTTCAGTCCTGCATGTTATGTGTGCACAGGCTGGTCTTCCAGGCGTAGCTGGACTGCCAGGACAAAAAGGAGATAAAGGGGAAAAGGTAAGGGCCAGATTTTTAGTGCTTTTTGATAAATGTGTTTGTCTTGACATCTATTCAAGGGAAAATGGAGTTGTTCAGGAAATGTTAGTGATTTCACAGAAGTCTCAACTTGATCTTGTCAGCATTGTGTTCAGCACCTTTATTGCAAATGACCATAGTTTTGTTCTCAGATACTCTTAGCTGCAGCTGTGGGTTTGCTTTCTGGGCAGTGTTGCTGGTTTTCCAGGACAGCTACAAGGTCTAAATGTCAAGAAAGACAGCAAGTCCCCGTAGGACGCATTTATACTTCATTGTTAGAGGAAGAGAAATAGAGCTTTCTTTCAGCAGGGAAATATCTATATTGGAATGCCTAGCAAAGTCCATGTTCTTCAGTCAAGGTCCTTTGGAGAGGCTACTGTGCAATTATCTGCAAGCATTCACATTTTCTCCCAAATATCCCAAGCAGTGTGAATTGGTAAATCATACATTTGTTCAATCACTTGAAAATTGGTGTAGTTTAAAAAAAAGATTCATGACAGCTCAATAGACAAGTGGAAATGTAAATTGTAAATGCCCAGTCACTGAAAATTGTGGGTGTCGCGTCAGTTGGAGGACAAGAAAAACATGAAGGAACCATCAAATACCGAGACAAAAAGTGTTATTATTCCCTAGACAAATCACATTGTTTGGAGAGTCAAATCCCCTTTTAGCTGCCTGTACAAGGTTAAAAAGTGACAAAAGGGAGAAAGCTCTGAATGAAAAGAATTCACAGGGACGAGCAGGTGGTGGTACTGTACGCCTGATAAGACTATATGGCTTTTGGGGGTCAGTATCCTAATTACCATGATGTGGCTGTGGGATTAAGATATGTAGGATGACTGTAAGAGTTTTTGTTCCGTGAAAACCAGTCATTTCTGCAAGGCACAAAAGCATCATTTTAAATCATTTATACCTTTAGCATCCAACTCTGGAATTTGTAATCGGGCTTTTTTGAGCTTTCTACACCGTGAGTTGTTAGTGCTGCTAAAGAGGCATCGTGATTAGTGCTGGTAATCCTTTGAACAGCACCAAAAATGTACTGCCTGTGTGCAAGCATATGATTATAGATTGTTTTTCTTTCTAGCAGAGTAAAAAGGACTATATTTCGTCACTTTTGCATGCCAGTTGTCACAATGTCACTGAAAATCTGGAGACACTGAACATCTGTAATTGTTAGAACAGATACATAACAAATAATAAAGACATGGATGCTTAATCCTTTTAACTTTTTTAGCTTTTTATTTTGTTAGCTGATGTTTAAAATAGGCAGCGATCATTTTAAATATCATTTTTAAACTAGCTTTGTTTAAGAAAGAAAGAAAGAAGCAAAGGAAAACAGGTTGCTCTAATCAAATACGTTGATGTGCTATAATTGGCCTCTAATGATTCTTAAATGACCCAGCAGAGATCGGTTCTCAAGCTGTAATGTGTCTGTGCATTTGGAATGTGGTTGAAGTGCTGGTGATTAATTCGTTTCTGGTAATTGGTGTGGGTATTTAAAGTGGGTAAAATATAACAGGCTGCTGGTTCAGTTTGCAGTATAGCAGGCGCTGTGCAAGTTGTCAGTGCTTTTGTTACATCAAAAAATAGCCATTTAATGTCCCAGTAAGTGTTAACCTGGTACCTAAACGATGTCCAAATAGCACTTTAGCACATATCTTTTATCTGTCTACAAATGAACCAACAATAATTTGAACATGCTTCTCACCCAGGGCCCTTCCTTTTTTATTGTTATTATTTTTCTGCAGGCCACATCGTGCGCTATGACTCAGTTACTCATACTGTTAACACCTGAAATCTAATTTCAGGTTTTCAACAAATCAATACTTGGCAAGATTTGTTTACTGACTGAACAACAAAATTTATAACAAATCCTATTACTGGCTTGAACACTAAATCAATGGCGTTAAGCAAAGACATGATCAGGGGCCACACATTCATGACTAAGCCATCTCGTTCAGTCAGTTAACACACCACCGGTATTAAAAGCAGAAGCTAAAAAGAACCCTGGTGATTTTTTGGTAGTTATATTAGACCAGCTGTTGCGACTGCTGATCAGATAAATGTGATTTTGCTGCCACATTGAATAGAAACTTATACATGAGCTAAACTAAGAGCTAGGCACACTTCATTTACATTTCTAATATAGTTCTATTTTCACCTTTTTTTCTTGATCTTTTTATTCACCTCTTCAATCACTTTTTATTCATGCTATGATGTAGTAAATTAGCTGCTCAAAGTGCAGAACACACAAAAACCATCCATCCAGCCACTCTCTTATGCTTATCTAATTCAGGGACGGGGGAGCTGGTGCCTTTCCCCGCTCCCGTAGGGTGAGTGCTGGGGTACACACTGACAGCTTTCTAGTGTGACACAGAGCTACAAAAATCATTTTCAATAAAAATATAATCTGCAATTCAAGTTTAATACTTGTTCATATGCAGATGACAATTGAAATCAACACTTCAGCTATAGCAGCATGAAACCATCTGTGTACTGACAGTAAGATACACACACTGGACACTTTATTACGTAGGTATACCTGTTCATCCACTTAATGATGCAAAAATCTAATCAGCTGATGACATGGCAGCAACATGTCAGATCAGTGTATTTAGGTGTGCAGACATGGTCAACACAGCCTGTTGTTAGAACTTAATTATAAGAATGGGGAAGAAAGGTGGTTTAATTTACTTTGAATGTTGTTGGTTTGAGAGATCTGGTCGGTAGTGCCAAACAGGCAGAACCTGCTCATCTGCTGGGATTTTAAATCCTGTAAACCCTTAAAAAATTATAGGATTTGTGAGGAATGGTCTGAAAAAGAGAAAATGTCAAGTATGCAGCTATTCTGTGGATCAAAATGCCTTGGTGATCTCACAAGCCAAAGGAGCATAGCCAGACTGCTTTAAGCTGACCAGCCAGTGTGTGCAGAAGAGCAACTCTGAGCTCTCTGAAGTTACGTTGAAGCAGATGGGTGACGTCATCAGAAGACCACACTGGGGACCACTCAACTAAAAAAGAGAAAAACTGAGACTACAATTCACATGGGGTCACCCAGAATCAGAAAATAGAAGATATAAAAATGTCACCTGGTCTAATAAGTTTCTGTTGCAACATTTTATCCTGCCTTTTATCAATGGTTCAGGCTGGTGATGAATGGAGAATATTTTCTTGGTACATTTTCAGCCCCATATAGGCATCATTTTTGCTGACCATATCCACAGTGTACCCATCTTCTGATGGCTGCTTCCAGCAGTATACTGTGCATTATCACCAAGCTTAGATTATCTCAAACTCTATACTCGAATGTACTTAAAGTGCCTCCACAGTCACCAGATGTCATTCCAATAGAGTACCTTTGAGATGTGGTAAAGCGAGAGAGTCACATCATGGATGTGTAGCCAACAAATCTGCAACAACAGTGTGATGTCATCGTGTCAATATGGACAAAAATCTATGTTAAAGTTTTCCATTGTGCTGTTAGATTGATACTGTGAAGAATTAAGGCTTTTCTGAAGGCACAAGGGTCCAACCCAGTACTAACACTGGGTAGCTAATAAAGCTGCCAGTGAGCATATACTAATGTAGCTAATTTGGCGTTTTAATTAGTCCACAAACCACACATTGAAAGATGATCAATAGTTTTGGTCACCCAATTGTGAAACTGTAAGAGTTATGATTCTGATTTGTCAGGCTGATCTACATGTGATGTCAAACAGTGTAGGCTGTATTCTATTCACTGACCGTAGCTAACCTTTCTAAACAAGTGGCAGTTTGTTCTTATAATATTAATTATGCTTTGATAGTCAGTCATTTATTTATTTATTTTATCTTATTTACACTGGCCTTGTTGTAGATTCGTCTGTGTGGTATATTATGGTAGCATTTCACTTCTTCTACGTTATATTTAATTCTCATTGATCCCTGAGTTTCTAAGGCCAGTTTCTACCTGTTTCTCCCTGGTGGAGTGGACTTATAGGCGCTAGATGTTTAGAAGAGCTGAAGGTTTGCGTTGTCAGACCACATTCAGGATGCTTTCTGAGAATCATTTCTGTACAAACTCAAAATCCAATTTACAAAAATCTATTTTAAGTTAAGCCAACATTTAGAACTTCCATTTGTTATGAGATAGAGTAGGGTGTGTGTTTCAGTGTGTGATTTTTCACAAGCAATGGGGCAGTGTTTGTGCAGTCTGAGCCATCATAGTTCATTTTGCGCAGTGGAGGGCTTTGCCTGCTTCAAAGGTCCAGAATGATTTTCATTATGGAAACCTAAAGGAAGCGAGGGAGAAATGCAAGTGTTGAAGAGATGTAGCTACCAACTTACAAATCCTTGGCTCCAGAGCTTCAGTCTTAAGAGGCATCATTACTTATGACTTGTGCATATCTGTAAAACTGCATAAATGTTCACCAAACTAATTTTTTAGGGGCTTTAAAAATGTAAAAGTACCTTTCCCTAAGCAATTTATTTTCTGCTTTTTTGTTACGTGCACAACGATACACCGCATACTGTTTAGGGGGGGGACTGCTGCTTCGTGTGATGCCACCACACTCAATTAAATTATTATCTGCTCTTAAGTGTTAGACGGCTTGTTATATTTCATCTCGCCAGCTGTTTTCCTATTATATTATTTGCTTGTTCCTATATATAACACTACAAAGTTGGTGCCATGAAAGTAAATTGTTTTGTGTATGGAGGTACAACATTTACACATCATGTCACTTGATGTAAAGACTTGCATACAGGATACCTTTGTGTTTCTGTCCTTTTAACACAAGCTTCTCCGTCCTGATTGTTGCCTCTGACAGGATTTTGTAAGGAATCTTTAGCTCCTCCATGATTCCAGATAGGAATTTATGTTCAGATCATGGGAAAATGGACAAATTATGTAAGGAATTATACATTAGTATAATAAAAACTAGACCTATAGGTTTCTTAAACGCTTTGTTTAGTTTGGCAAGACCCACATGTTGCTGTCATATTGCTAGCCCAGTATTCATGGGACAGTTAAACAATGAGAAACTCTGATTTATATTACAATACATTTAACAAGGGGTAACAAAGTCATATAAAACTCTGTTATTGAGGTAATCTTATAAGACTTGAGAATCTCCTTCTGTATAAGATTAAAAATAGTCCGAGTATACTTACTAACAATTTAGATTGACTTTGTAGAGATTAATCAAAGACATCTGGGCAATTTAGAGCATTTAAACAACCAAAATGAGAAGTGCAGGCCAATCATCGTGACCTACACAGAGGGTTTCTTGGGAAAATGGGTGGGGATTACTTTTGCTGTGTTACTCTGACAGAAAGTACTATCCCGCATTACAGTGAGAGTTTGATGGAGGATTCTAATGCAGTGCAAAGGGATTAAACTGCTATGATTAATCCAGAATCCCTCAGGAAATTAAACAGATAAGTAGTGGGTTATAAGAATGCAGCTTACTTGAAAGGAAATCCATTTTCTATGGCCTTGCACATAAACCCTGGTATTACTAGATTTACAGCTCCTGCATGTACTTGCTCAAAAAATAAATAAATAAATAAAACAGAGGCGTAATGGCGAAATTAAAACTTCTTTCCCTTTTACAATACCCATAATTTGTTTTGCACCATTTACAATTCTCATGCCCTTATGGCTTGTGTTTTCAATTAGTACCCCCTAATTCAATTTATACCCATTCTACCTCTAAAGTGAGTTATAATAGGAATTTCACTCAAGATGGTTTATTATTTCACTAACACTTTGATTGGCTGTCAAAACCTTTCATTGCTCCTATTGTAATAATAAGTGTTGTACTATTATTAGCTTTTTAAAAGGTTCGTGTCAGTGGGTGAAAAGAAAACTTTAGTGGGTGAAGAATGAATGGGTGACAGCATTGTGAAATATACATACCACGGACAATGCATGAATGTCTCGCGTCTAATATGAATGCTTAACATGCTACAATTGTTCACATGACCAGTGAATTATCAAATGTTTTGTATTTTTAAAAGGTAGAGTGGACATGCTCAGAATAATGGATGCAATAATAAGGCTCATCGTTTATCCTCCAGCCTAGAAAGCAATTCATTTGTTAAGTTAGCAACATTTTCTTGTACTTTCCAAACAAACCTATTGAGAGCCAGCAAACAGGGCTCGTAATGAAGATGTCACAATGAATGGACATTGTGCTTAATTAGATTCTTAGCTTGCAGCATGTTCTACATTTGCTTAATTTGCTAAATAACAGTCCAGCCTCTCCTCTCAGCAGCACTGCGGACAGTACCTCTTTCTTTTATCCTCTCTCCAGTCTGTCTTTACTGTCTATAAAAGTATATCCCTTAAGACACTTAAACTTCTCTTCCTTTTTTGCCCTGTCTTGTCTAACTTTCTAAAAATAATACAGTTATTAAAACAATATGATGACTCCTAATGGGGTTCAGATATGCACGTTCCAGTTGTTGAGAAACAGTATCCTGATCTGCAGCTGCTGTGGTCCTGTGTCAGCAAGAACTCTTGGAGCAGCTGTAGGAGCGAGATCGTTGTTGAAATGACAAGTGTTCATAAAGCTATTCACTAATGTGTGAACGAGAGACCTTTCACTAACAGGTCCCTGTGTTGTTCCTGTTGCAGGGGTACACAGGGGAGGCTGGGCCCGCAGGAAACGGAGGACCCAAGGTAGGTCATTCGCTGAATGACTTGCAAAGCTAACACTCCTCAGTGTTGCTTTGCCCTCACACTTGTGACTAAGGCTTTGAGGAACGTGGGCTCTACGTTTTGTTTTGTTTTTTAAGATATGTTTTAGTTACAAATTGAGTTAGTGTTGCTGTATGGTATACAGATGCTTAAATAGCAGATGGCTCTTTTGATTAAGTGATTTATGGAATCTGTCAGTGCCCCTCTCTGAGATTATTTTCTAACATTATTGGGTTGATTTACTGGCCTGCTTGTGGTGACCTCATCAGAGCAACACAGAAAACAAAGCAATATCAAAATCGAATGAAATATAAAGGTGCCTGCTCAGTACGGCTACCGCTATCCAGTTCCAACCAAGTTCAGGTCCAACCAGCGGCATTTCTAGCTTGGTTGTGTGCCCCCACCAGACATAGTTGGCAGTTTTCCCGAGTGGGACGCCAGCGAGAGATCATGTCCTTGCCACTGCACTCGAAATCCCGGCTAGATGTTTGGGCTGTCTGTCCTGAGAAGATGTCTTGCATGCGTGAGCCTCAGTTGCACCTTCTTAATGAAGTCCTTCACTGTTGAGTGAAAAACAAGTGACTTGAATAACTTGATGCGCATTTGTGAAAACATGTAATTATGTACAGCCTCCCTGAGTAAAAATTAGGACTCAAGAGTGACAAGCAATTCACAGGAAACTTCAGAGGGCAAGAAAAATGCAGATATCTTTCATATGACATATCAGATTGACGCAGCACTTGTTTTGTTCTTTACTAGTCCAGTCTCGTTCCTGATAGTGTTGAGAAAATTACCGTATTTGCAATTTATTTCACTGCAGTTGCTATTTATTCCCTTGCATATTGCGTTGTGTGATATTGTCATCAGTTAGGTTGTTGACTATCAAATGTGGCATCTCAGATGCATGTGTTAATCTCCTCTGCTTTGGGAGGCCAGCCAACTACTTACAGTAATGCTGGTACAAGGGTGTTGTCTCTATATCTTACACTGAGAATACCTTGCAGTATATCATGGAGTGGAAAGAGGGGGTGTGGGATTTTGATTCTATTCTCAGAAAAACACAGCTAATGCATAACAAGACAAGAAAAACACACATATATCCATCAGATACTACATTGAATTTAGGGATCGATTTTACCGAAGATCGTTGTGGAAGCTGTTTATGCATCGTCAGTAAACAGGATTATTCCTGAATGTGGAATATGGCTTAATCCTGGATCTATATCCGTTAAGCTCACTGTGGGACGACTTATTTGCTCGGGAACCTTGATTTGTGAAATAAGGTATAGCACTTAATGGCACGGCTCTCTCCACTTGTACAGGAGCCAGCGAAAGCTATTTTGTTGCACAACAGTGCACAAGAAAAGCCCCAGCCGTAGCAGTAGTATTGATAAAGATGCTAATGCACAGTGCCATGTATTGAAGTGTTTTGTAGCTTTGCTCAGTTTTGCATCAATAAGGTTTCTTCCTGACCCAGACATATTTTACTGAAACCTGTGTGTGTGGACTATTGTTATACTCGCCTTTCATCCATCTGTGGGCATCCAGTATGTGCATATGCTCTATACATGCTGCGTGTTCGGAGATGTCTACAGATGGCTGTGGGCACTTTTAGCTAAGACACACAGATTTTCAGACTCTTTTGGTCGTCTTAATGTGAGAACAACAATTCCTGCAGCTGTTGGCATTATAAAAGTAATGATATGGTTGCCCTTGGACACTGTAATACTGCAGTTTGCTTGAGCTTTATGGGCCAGCTGAGGTCATTAAACTGTATAGGTTACACTTTCATAAGAGGTTCCAAGACAGCTCACACATTTCTGGCACAGTTCTCCGAAATCACTGGCTGGACAGCCTGAGAAGAATCACTGATCAGAAAGATATTTGTGGAAATAAGCCCCTAACAGCTTTTTTACTGACTACAAATAATCCCACACATGTTATAGACTTTCCTGAAGCAGAAATGCTGCAGGGAGCTTAATAGCAAATGATACTGCATGCGACTCCTGAATGTGTGGTGTGTGTGGTCTTTCTTCTCCTTAATAAATTCTTGTGTGTTTTTCTGCTGCCATCGCCAAGATCCTTAACTTAGATTCTTAGAACTTCTTTGAAGTTCAGTATTTAACTTTATTCCTTTTTTTTTGCCTGTTTGTATTCATGTGAGTGTATTAACATCCACACAATAACTCCAGAGCAGCACATGATAAATATCATACACCACCCAGTGCATCTGTACAGTGGTGTAATTAGTGTGGCGTCCCTTGGGGAAGGAGAGGGGTGGACCTTATACTTACATTTTTATAGGGATAAATGAAAGCACTATAACTCTTTAATGATTTAATTAAAAGTATTTGTGGACTAATGTGTTCCCTAGCTTATGCAATAAATGTCTCATCAGCCACTTATGAAACACTAAAAACTTTTAAAAGCTAACATCTTTTTTGAGCCTCCATGTGTCTCCTTAACCCTACTTTAGCACTGCTGGGTGTCAGAGTGGGGGAAAAAAAGATGAAAGCATAAACTTTTCAAGGGTCTTTTCTGCACCTTTTAACTTTCAGTCTTGTCATTGCAGGGGGAACTTGGATCAGAAGGGCAAAAGGGAATCGATGGAGAGAAAGTAAGTACCACTATCTTCAGCAGACATATATTCCATACCTAGCACATCAACCAGGTCTGGTTTCGTCAGGGAATCAATTCTTATAGGCTTTTCATTTTCTGTGTGATGACCTGGGGGTAGGAGCGCAGCAGAGTTTTTCTGTGTGGCTGTTTTCAGGTGCTTGTCATATCTGAAGCAGAGCAAGGAGTGCTCTAGCCGACATTGTCCTTCTGCAGTGAAATTAATTGATATGCTGCCATAGGCTTGACATACTAATGGACTAAATTCATTTCCCAAATTACTGTAAGCCCTTTCTGTGTCATTTTAGGTTACATTTTATTGCATGCTCTTAAATCTGGCTGCAGTGATTAGACTAATGTATGTAATATACACTCTGATAAGGCACACTATTAAATGATAATTGTTTTGAATACATATCCATTCGAAAGAAACAACAACAGCACCACTTAGATCTTATTAAGCGTTTTTAGCCACAAGCAAATCTGTTTTCCTTCCTTTAAAGCATAAATTAAATGAAAGCGTGTTTTTTTTCCTTTTTTTTCTCTCGCTTTGTTGTTTTTTGCTATACTGCTTTTGTTTGCTCACATAGCACAATCTCAGTAGATGTACTGAAAGCTGTGCAGATGGTCAGTTTAAAGTAGCTTAATAAAGGGACTTCTTTTCATCACCATCTCCCACTTGAGTCAACAAACAGCTGCCACAGAAATCAGCCTCCCTGCAGGCTGCGGACCCGTGATCTGCCATATAACAGAGAGAGAAAGTGGATAAAAAAAACCCAAAACGGATAAACATGAGTGTGCGCAGCCAAAAGAGTATTTACTGATTTAATCCAGTAGAATTACCTCCCTGTTTCTTGTAAGTTCTCAGACTGTCAGACACCGATGCGATGGTGCACGCTGCTCCTGATTTAAGGAGAAAAACACAGTGTTGTGTGGTTGGATGCCATACAGTAAACCTGAAAAAAAAAAACATCTACTGTTTATATTATTTCCTAAGAAATTTTTAAAGAAGTGGTTCAAATAGGAAGGATTGGCTTTGACGAGATAGTCTGTTTTGTCCCTTTTGGAACTGACATCACTATCGGCTGTTTGAAAAGTGCAGTGAGCTGCTACATTGACAGGATTGGACCAAGGGTCTGCTGAGAGGCGATCCTGCTCCCCTCTGCTCGCTCTTTCTCTGGGTGGCAGGCGTCATTGTTAGTGGTGCTCAGTCATAAACTACTCTGCCACTAGTTTGGTGTGAGGATATATGTTTTCCTAGAGAAGTGACTTGTTTTGATCTTTGTGCATCCCTAGGCGCCGGGGCTTTCTTCGGTCATGCTCAAATGGCTTTTCATGCGTGTGCTGAAGGGATTTATTATACTGTGCCCTACTTCCTTGAGTGATTTGAAACAAAGAAAAAGTTGAGAAATTGAGGTCCTATTTGTGAAGCATTGCTTCTAGCAGGCGTGTTGGTCCAGCATCTCAGATGCCCATTATAGATAATAACGTATGGATCCTGGACGTGCTTAGCCTAGCTTAGCTTGAAGACAGCTGTTCTAGCTAAATCAAAAGTGAAAAAGAAGATACGAGTCCGACCTGCTGTATCTTGTTATCTGGCAAGCTTGCCGCTAGTACATCCAAGAGGCACCTGGGGTTTGCCTTTGAGCTGAGGTCCGTAAACATGTTTTGGACCTGTCTTTGTAGAAAATCACAGAAATGACACTGACATCTATCTTTTCATCTGATGCTGGGAGAGGAAAACAAGTCTATTTTCCCAAAATGTCAGCGCGTTCCTTAGAGAACAGCAAATTTCTGGAGTGTATAGAGAACTTATTCTGCAGTGGATACAGCTTAAAATCAAGCCAAATGCCTTGAGTATTTATTTTTAATTAAGTGATAACAGTTTTATTTACTAAATTGCTTTTTTTCTGCCCCACTTTACTTAAACTTACAAATTTGTGCTAGAAAGCTAGGATCTCGATTCCTTGCACAAGAAATTTTGGGGCACTGCTGTAGCCACATCCTTTAACATACTATATCATCACCCTTGAAACGACATTTCTTCCTCCTGCACCACCAGCTGACGAGCAGTTGTTTTAAGCTGAGACTTTTACCAATTCAATCGGCGTGCTCTGAAATGGCTACTAGCTCATCATCTGTAATTATTGCAGCATAGATAACAACAGAATAAGCTTTCAAACTTGGTGCTGAAGACAGCAGTGAGTGACACTGAACCAGAATAGCAATGCTGAGTGTCATTAAAGCAAGACAATAAGCTGGGAGACTCCAATGCTCTACATGACATGCAGTCATGCGATAATTTCTTCAAATACACACAAGTTTCAGCCATTCATCAACGTCAACACAATGGATTATGTTTCCAGTATGTATCCTTCTAGAAAGAGAATAAATTATGGTACGAATCAAGCTTTCATTATTTGTTTGTCCCTTTTTTCCCACAGCTATGCTTTCTCTGTGAGTCATTTGACTTCTTGATCTAACACTTGCATTCGATTTCGAATAATATGATGGCAGGACACTGTAGACAAATAGATGGGATTTAAACTAGCCCCATGTCTCATCAGTGTGCAGCGAGCATTACAGGATTAAAAACCAGTATCCCCAGTGTCAGGTGATAGGATGAAGCTGAGCCTCATCGACTAAATAAATCTGCAATAAAGCTGGGCCGTCTTTCCAGTTAATCACTTACAGAAATTAGTGCTAAGAGACTCGAAAGTCCTAAAATCGTCATTTGTAGCGAATAAACAGCCCCTAGCAGCAGAAATAAATACTGTCCTTAGTATTGTAATGTCACTTTAAATGAATATACTGTAATTATTGTTTCTGCTTATTTAGAAGGTAAGAAGCAGGGAGCACGGCAAACACACTCCCTGCTTAATAACAACAACGCAGAAGATGTTGTCTGTTTAATGTAAATAAATTAAAAGCTGTCTATGGTGCACAAATGTATTTGATGATTTCAGTTAACCTATTTACTCTGACCACTCCTGTGACTTCATCACCTGATCTGTCCTTTTACTGCAATTAGCTCATATCCCATTTTTAAAGCTGGTGTGTTATTTAAAGCTAGAGTAGACACCCGAGAAGCCGGAATTCTGTGTATGAGCATGTGCTCCGGTATCATTTTGCAGATACACCTCCTATGGGATGGGACGTGTTACTTTGTGGGTAATTCAAGTTACATTCGTGGAGACAGGATGTTCAGCTGAAGAGTGAAGTGTCATAGGAAAAAACAAGGGACTAGTCACACCGATGAAACATGATATCCCTTGTTCTAGATGATCTGTGACAGTGTAGTCTAATATCCTCGCACTACGAGCCATTGTTTGGGTTTCCTGGGTAAATTGTATTTATTCAGAAAGTGCAGAAGCTGTCAGTGCTACAGCCCGATGCCAGTGTGATTAGTCTTATATCAGAATGTACGGGGTAGTGCATTGCTGAGCAAAGGGAAAGTCACAAAAGGCATTTCCTTCTGTAACCTCCATGGCATTTGTACGCCAGCACTCAAGATATCTATGTTACTTACAGATCCTGTTCCATGGAGCTTTAAAGGCCTGTCATTCGGTGTAACAGCATTTCCCCACCATAGCATTCAGAATACTTACTATAGTTTTTAATTTAGCCTTCACTCAATAAGGCCAAACCTTGTTTGTGATGATTAAGTTGTTTACAGTAGTTAGAACTTGCAATCATTCTCCTGCTTCTTAGACAAGGGCACCGACCTGCAGCTGCTCTAGTTGGTAAAAGGTAAAAGTAAACACAATTAGACCGCATTTGTTCATCCCTACTTCTCTGGCTCTGTTTATTTGCTTGCTTTAGTTGTCTTGTGCTGGGGAGTTGCCAGATTGTCTTGTCTCCGCTACCTGAGCGAAGAGACACAGTGGTGTGTGTAATTAGCAGGCAAGTGTACACAGCTCCCCACAGTGTTCTGACCTCGTGCTGCAGGAACAACTGCCACACAGTCAGCACCAACTTATTCCCAGCCCCTTCTGCCTCCTTTATCCTCCTCTGTAAATGCAACAAAGCCCCAAGCTTGCAACAGAAGCTAACAATATATCCGGCCCCTGTCTGCATCTCGCTCTTTGTCATCGTGCACCTAAATTAAGCCTATGGGCTCACGACTGAGTCCATTAGATAGAGAGAAAGCCTCTTAACCATGCTGTAGTGTAGCAGGAAGGATAATAAAAAAGAAATAAAAATGCACTTTTTTTCTCTTAAGGGGTCATTAGATGCTCTCTCTTCAGGTAGCATTTTAGCAATTTAGCAACGGACAGCATTATTTCAGAACAATCGCTAAAGCACCGCTTCTTTAACGCCTACATTCATTGATTTGCATTTTGATTAATTGTTTGCTTTTGACTTAGTATCTTATCCATTCCTTGAAATAAATTAAGAACGGGCTTGTTCTTAGGAATCACTTTACATATTGTTGGAGATATTTCATGTAATTACTGTGTACATGAATGGCTCAAACTGCACATTGACTTATAATGAGAAAATATAGGTGTATGGATTCAAATGGTAGTATAGTGTATTTGTTTTTCCTTTTAACCACTTTTGTGCTGAATCTGATTTGACCATTTTTCTATTAACAAACGTATGTATTGTGTCTGACATTTAACTTACTCAGAGGGCATTCTGGGATAGCTTTACACCCTGACAACTGTGTAAAACTGGTAGGTTTCAAATGTACAGTGTTTGCAACAGTAACAACATCAACACCAAAAAAAAAAGAAAAAAGATTTTGGCTGAATGGAAAAAGTGGTTCCATCTATTTTTATGAAGGAGATTATTTAAAATAGTTGATCTGGACTTCTGATATCCTAAAGGAGATAGTGGAATTAAGTGAAACCTTTTTCTATTAACTCTTAATGGTTATCAAACCAGTGTGTTACAAAAATATTAATACTGTTTCTAAAAAATCAAAAAGGAGCTTTACTACAACATAAAAATATGATATTATATATGTAGATTTTTTTTTTGCATTTCTTTTTTTTTTTTTGCATTTCTTTGTATTTCGTTTTCCTGTTTTGCTCAGCAATTTTCTTGTACATTTAACTGAGATCCTCCTTATTGGCACCAAATCCAAACTTTTGAAGGCGAACCATTTCTCACTCACCATCGATAACTCCACAGTTTTCCCTTCTCCAGGTTAAGAGCCTTGGTGTCATCCTAGACAGTACACTTTCTTATAAATCACACATCAATAATCTCACCCGTTCTGCCTACTTCCATCTACGTAACATTAACAGATTGCTTCCTTCTCTTTCCACCGTCCATTCTTGTCCACAGCCTTGTTACCTCCCGTATTGACTACTGCAATTCTCTTCTGCATGGTCTCCCCCAAAAATCCCTCCATAAGCTTCAACTGGTTCAGAACTCTGCTGCTCGCATTATCACCAGAACCCCCTCCTACCAGCACATCACCTGTTCTTCAGGAACTTCACTGGCTCCCTGTGAAATTCCGGATAATTTTCAAACTTCTTCTGCTCACCTTCAAGGCCATTCATAACCTCGCTCCTCCTTACCTTTCTGACCTGTTAACCACTACCTGTTCTGCCCGTTCACTTCGATCTTCTTCTTCTATCCAGCTTGCTGTACCTTCCTTCCGCCTCACCACCATGGGAAGCAGAGCTTTCAGCTGCTCTGCTCCCAGGCTGTGGAACTCTCTGCCCCCAGAAATAAGAAACATTGGTTCTCTCCCCCAGTTTAAATCCCAACTCAAAACTCATCTGTTCAAATCTGCATATTCACTGTGAATCCACTGTTTGTTAATTTTATCTTGTGCTTCTGTTTTATTGTGCTTATTCTGCCATTGTTTTACTAAGTGTTTTATCCTATTGTAAAGTGTCTCATAAATAAAATTTATTATTATTATTATTATTATTAAAGCACCAGGTGCTGGTGCTATAGTTTGAAATCCACAAGGTCACATTATGGCTATTTAATACCAAAGCTTTAGTCAACAGGCTCAAAGTACAGTTCTGAATTGTACTTTGATTGGCTGCAGGGAAATGTAAAAACAAGAAAAAAGCTTATTAACTGGTAAATTTTTCCCCATCTTTTCATTTTTGTACATCTGTGAAAAATGCTTAACGAAAAATTTGCAAGGCTGCCAAAAACGTCATCCAAAAAAATATGAAGGCTTACTTTTTAATTGCTCTGGTTGTTCTCCAGATGATGTGTAGGCCTGCAGTGCATATCTTATAAACCTTTATAGGTCAGAACAATTGCACAGATGTTCCAAGTTTTCGATCAAGCAAATTTATATTCTAAGCCAATGTGTCTTTTACTACAGTGTGTATTTTTAGTATTTGGAAGAACTTTTTTCTGTAAAGCTACTTTGTTAAGTTTTTTAATTAAAATATTTACCAGAAGGAAACATTTTTGTAGCTCGCAGATTGGCTATGGCAGTTGCAGAGCTTAGTTTGACTGTGTGAATGACTATAATTTAAAATAAGGTGGGAGAGTGACTTGTGGGCTGACTCAATTTTTGTTTGACCTGAATTTTTGACAAGAACATGTGGTGCCCCTGAAAAATAGCTCACCACTTTACAGAAGCTTATCACACTTGTATTATTCGGTTTGAATTATGGCAGTTCCCTGTCAGCTCTTTAGTAAACACATTGTTTTGTGTCTACAATTGGGGGAAAAAGTGCAGCAGAAGGCCACAGTTCCTATTAAAAGCCTTCAAATTTTCCCGTTTTATTGTAAAGAAATTCTCAAATCCTGAACAGTTCAGAATGAATGAATCGTCTATTCATGTGAACAGCCTGACACGAATATAAGATTACAAAGAAATCCTGCTGTTTTATTAATACTGAATTAAAGAAATGCATCAGCATCACTCCCTGGTTTAATGATGTTATATATTTGAGAAATTGAAGTCAGACGACCCAAATGCAGGACTCATAGGCAGAAGCGGACCTCAAGTGGAAGGCAATTCTTTATTGCAGCTGGTGAAGTTAGAAACATAAATCTAAAACGGAGGCAAAACTGAGTTGAAAATCCCAAGAGCCGAAAATCTAGGAAGCTCAGCGGGGAGACAGACAGGCAACTACACAGTACGGCGTGACGAGGAAGAAGTGAAAGATACTGCTATTTATACAAGGATTACTGAGGGGACTGGAAACATCTGGGAAACAAGAAAAAGGTGACAGCAGTCAAGACAAAGACACCGGGGACAGAGTAAATCTAAACAAATGACACAAGAAACAAGTCACTATCAGGAATGCAAAACAAACAACATCATAACAGAACAAAATGCTGATAGCTAAAATGCTATACTAATACCAGAAAAATAGATTGTAAACTAGGAAAATGTTCAAAATTCTACAATTAGTGAACCCAGAACTAGCTGAGAATATAGACATACCAATCTCAAAGAAAACCTAAAGTACAAAACTTAAAACCCTGGAATTTTATTTTGTGTGGCGTGGCATGCCATGGGTAAGATCATTATGAAGCCTGTGAAACTGATGATTATTTAGACTTCTGACTGACATGCTACATCATTATATGACGTAACATGCAATCCATTGCTATCTTGTGTCAGTGTAGTGGAAAGCTTTGGATCCTTCATTTCAATTCAAAATGAAAAAGTCGAACAAATAGTCTGTGACACTGTCATAAAAGATGCCAATATGTGGGTCTTATTCAATTTAAATGTACAAATGTATTGGAAATGGCAGGAGTAAGTAATATGTTTCTATAACTTTGTGAGTGAGGGTTGAGTCTGAGTCTGAAGGTTAGGAGCAATCCTCTATGGGAATGAAGAGGAGGGCGATAACATTTTGTTAGAGAGCTTGCTAATGATCTTTTAATAGTGGCTTACAGGAATGAGCAGCGTGGGATTGACAAAACAGTCTCAGTCAATCTTCAACTTCAGACAACTGAAAAGAAAATTGCCCGTAGCTATAATGTCCTGCGCTCATATAGATTTAAGCTGTATGGAGGAGTGATAACAAATGGCTGATAATTAGAATGAAGCACAGCTATACTAAAATATCTTTTGTTAGCTTACTGTTTCAGAGCCATGCAAACCGCAGCTCTAACATCTACTAACAACATTTGTCAGTGAGAAACCTGTAATGATTTCTAAATCGTCTTCTTTTGATAACAAACCCAGATTTAAACCTCAAAAACAAAAATGACCTCAACAAGAAGTTGTCAAATTGCAAATATTGTGTCGTGATGTGATGTTAGATATGTGCGTAAAATTTCCCAGTAACCCAAAAACACAGAGCTGTGAAAAGCAGCAATGCCTGCCTAATGGTTCCTTTTCTAAAATAGCTGTTACAGATCACAATAACAAGAAAACATGTTTATATTACAAAAGGCGTTTCATTGTAATAAGTCCTCTCATATCGACAGAATCTGCAGTTGTTTTCATCCTCGTTATCAAATGAGCCTTGCGCTCCGATGCTCTTTAATTTCTGCCACAGCTCTGGTAATATTGAAGAGGGGAATTTGCTTCTGGATTCCCTTGTGTCAGATTGCCCCAGCAAAGCGGTTAGGCTGTTGATTTAAAGAAAGAACCGAGCTCACACATGTGCAACTATGAGACAGCTGTTTTATTATTGACAGTGCATGTGGGCTGAGGGACCACATAAATTGATGCAGTCTGATAAAATCACGTTGTTGTCATTTCATTGTTGGTGCAATTTAAAGCGAGGCTTCACTGTAGCTGTCGTTATCTTACAGAAAATAACTTTCCACCACTGTTAGCAAGGCGTCTACTTTCTGAATGGTGTGGCTGAAGACAAGGCTTGCAGGGAACAGGCAATGAATTTGTCTCTGGTAGCAAGACTTAATGTGATAAGGGTAGGTAATCATCCTCTCCAGATATGTAATTCACTATTAATAGCCTATCTGACTCTAAATTTAACCATGACAAATTATTGTATTTCTGAGTCATTTTACAGCCTGCTCACGCTCCCCATCTTCCCTGCTCCCCCCTAACCTATTTCAAAGAGTTGGTGCTACTGGCCCAAATGTGTCACACCTAACAAGGCTCGCTGCAAATTTAGCCTGTCAATATGTGTCAAGCCTCATTCATCAGCTATCACTCTTCATTTGAGCCGTCCTCGTACTTTCACAGTTCACCACCGAAAGGTTTGACTTTGCCCTGAGCTTGCATTGGTTCAATCCCACCCCCAGGTTCTTTGCTTTGAGGTTTAAAAGCAATGACAGTCACTGTCCTTGCTAAATGTAAGTGCAACAAGGGCACACAGGGGGAAGGGGCTGGGGGGGTAGAGACAGTGTAACCAGCTAATCATGAGCGTCTCCCCTTAATTCAGCTACATTGAGTGTCCTGTGACTGACATCACCTGCTCTTTTCTCATTGACCAGTTGTGACAGGCATGAGAATCTCACATCTGCATGGTAGATTTGTTTTCTGAGTGTCAACATACTGACATACAGTAACACATCCGGGGTATTTTTCATTACATTTTTTTTAAATTCCATAATTCTCATTAAAAGGAAAAATGAAGAAAAGATGTGTTGTGTATTTTTTGTCCCCAGGGTTTGAAAGGTGACTCAGGGCCAGTTGGTCCAGTTGGTCCCAAAGGAACCAAAGTGAGTGAGTCTGCTGTACATGCTGGGCTGGAAAACATTAGAACAATAATCTTTTTCGTAGTTTGCTTTTCTGTCATCAGGGAATCTGCTTTACTTTCATGAGCTGCAGTCTCGATAATGTGGCTGTCCATCTGTTTGAAGTGCTGCTGTGAATTGCTACTCCAAACATGGCAAACTAAAGGATATTGTTATGGCTTTCATAACTTGGCAAGACCTTATTGATGGCCGTATAGAGTAGCTTTTATCCTGGCAGAGGGAAAATGGTCCACTCTCTCTATTTGTGGAGTATTTATATATTCGAAGTGATATATTTTTGTAATGGGCATGCCCAACAAATCCCTTTATCTTTCCCTTTCTAAACAGGTCTTTTCTGATACTGAAGCTTAGAGATGAAATGGGAAATGCATACCATTGCCTGCAGTTTGCTGGACTACTCATAGGAATAGTATTTGACATTAGGTTTTTAATTCTAGGAATACAATAGTTGCATAGGTATGCCCTGCACAGGTGGCTGTAGCTGGTTCCATAAGTCTGGGGTTTAAGACAAGAGTTTGATGCAAAACCTTGTTCTCATCAGTGACATGAATTAGATTAACTCTTGTAGTGATGTGGAACATATTGGTCTTTTTAAACTTTTATTTTCATGCCACAGTGGGATTATTTCCCATATATGAGTTGGAATGTTTTTCCTATAATTAGTTGCCATATCTCTTGCTCTTTTATTTCTCTTCCCTTATTAGGGCTTTTTCCCTCTTTTTCTCTCTCTCTTTGCTGTTGTTGTTGTTGCCTTTTGGTAGAACTCACCGCATAATTGTAGGTGCAATGCACTGTCTGCCAGCCTTGAAGTTATAATGAGGTCTGTGTGTTTCTGTGAAGACAACAGAGAATCACAGCGTATTTTATCCTGTTTTCCGGATGGGAGGGTGAGAGAGGGGGTGGAGAGAGCGTTTGTTTGTATGGAAGCTGACAGAGAGAGGCAGATTTGGAAGCATAAAGTAATGAGTCCCCTGAATATCCCATAGCAGGCATATTTTAGCTGTGACATTCATTTAGACAACAAAATGGATATGAACTACAAACACCTTCTTCTTCTTCTTTTTTTTCCCCTTTCATGCACATCTGATAAAAGAATATTGGCAGCAGTAAAGTCATCTATTTCTCAGCTCAGTGCTTTATAAATGTTGGGACTGCTGTTAAGAGGGGGTAGGATGGCAGTAATAGTGAACAGTGATCTACAAGTTTTATCTTAAAAGACAAAAAAAACAAGAAAACAAGACAGTCAGCAAAAAGGATGTGAGCTCATTGCTTACATTACATTATGTTGGCATCAAAAGGCGTTTTCTCCTTCCTTATATGACTTTTTGTGACCGCCTGTATGTAACAGTCAGCGAACAGTGTTATCATGCCTCCCCCTTGTTAATGCTGCAAAGCTCTCTCATGATGTAGTGTGCCTGCATTTGTTTTAAAGCCTGTCACATTTAATGGCCCACCTGCCAATGTGAAAGTCATCAGACATGCTTCATGTAAGGACATAGTGTAAATACCAGGTAATAGCCTTCTACCGTACATAGTGCTTATATTTGAATATACCTGCTATGAAATGTCATCTTACATGAGCTGACCTTCAGGGTTTTTTCTCACAAACATGATAGATGGCCTTTAGGTTTAATGATTATCAGTCAATAAAAGATTTTATAAATTTAGCTGAGTATGATAAAGAGTTAATGCTGCGCATTTTATTTATTTATTTATTTATTTTTAATTATTGTCTTCTCTTACAGGGTGATACGGGTCTGCCTGGAACTCCAGGGCTGCCTGTAAGTTCACACTTCTTCATTTACATCTCATTATGCCATCTGTGTATGTGTGTGTGTTCAAATAAAGTGGCGATGTTAAAATGTACTTATGAGGGTATGAAATGAGATGCATGAAATGGCAAAACTGAGCTTTGTAAATACCACAGCCTTTTGGCAGGCTCTACACATAGTGTTAAAACATCTGGTCCACAGAGATGGAAAGTGGGGCACTCCGGTGAACGCTCTCTGTGTCACATTACCGTCGCCTGGGAATGGGTCAAACGAGGAGCAGATAGATAGGGCTCAGTGGGCGGTTTCACTGGAGCCAAAAAGGATAGGCATGAGCAGCCAGGCAGAGAAGAATGGAGCTCCAAGCCTCGGGCTGGGTGTGGAGTTTGACAGGTAGTCACTGGCTGTATCCTACACGGGTGAGACAAGCACTTACTGGAATGGTATCTGTCCCTGCAGACTTTGTGCATTTACAGACACCCGTGAGAAATGACACCGGGATTTACGTCTTGTATATTTCTCTTGTTTGGCAATATCTAGCAGAAAGAAAACATAAAATCAGACACAAGTTCCACTTCACAACCAAACAGAAGCCGTAGCAGACCACATATACATTAAGTGTATTTACTTGTCTAGTCACCTACAGTACGAACAAGTAGCCCCATAATTTGTTGGACAATAACACAGTTTTTGTAGTTTTGCCTCTGCACACCACCACAGTAGATTTTAAATCAGATAGTTACGATGTGATTAGAAACCTTGAACATCACCAAATGCCATATTTCTTCCACTGAGAAGCTCCAGTAGGCCTTTACTGCCTTCAGTTTTGTCTTCAGTATCCGAAAAGCATGATCTATATGGAGCTCAGACTTGGCCAGTGAAGAATATCCAGTGTCTTTGCCTTGAGAAACTCTTGGGTTGCTTTTGCAGTGTGGATCATTACACATTTGCACTGTGAAGTTCTGCTTGATCAGGATTTTTTTTCAATGTTTGGCTGAATCTGAGCAGAGAGTATATCCCCGTACACTTCACAGTTTATCCCGCTACATCTATCAGCAGTCACATCATCTTTAAACACTAGTGATCCGGTTCCACTGGCAGTCATACAGCACATGCCCATGCCATAACAGTGTCTCCATCAATCTTGACAGAGTGTTTCTCTCCTTCTTCATAGCTTTTTTCTTTCCATTATTCTGGATCCATAAATCCAAATATTTGTTTATTTTTGGTAGAACTGTGCACACTTTTGTAGATTTTTTTCTAGCAAAGTCTAATCTGATATTCCCATTCTTGATAGCAACATTGCTATCAAGAACAACAGGGGACAAAACAAGTGGTTTTGTCCCCTGTTGTAGACTTGAGAGGGTTAGTGGGATTTGGCAGATTGGATGTGGTGGTGCAAGACAGGGAAAAGAATCACTTAGAAATCAGTCCCATAATAATTTTTCTTGTCCAAGCTCACCTGTGCTGGTACTCCGATATTCACTCAATACAGATTCACTCAGTATTCAGTGAGTTAAACTAATCAGCTTGAGTAACACAAAGACCTGCTTCAATTTGTTTTGCAAGCAATTTCACAAAAACATAATTCTGCAGCATGTCACATTGGGATTGAATATCTGATTTAAGAACTGAAGTGAATGCAGACGTTACATGCAAGATTTAAATTTCCAGTTCATAAAATTCAACTTGCTGAGCAGTGCTTACCTTTGAGAATAATCTCTCATCTTCGTCTCATCTTTCAGTCTCCGAGTGCCACGCATGAACTTTCTCTCCCTAAGACATACAGGAGCTGTACATTTTTCCTAGCAGACATGTTTTGTGACAAACTGTGCAGATGCAGTGTGTTTGCTTTGTGATATTTGTTGAGCTCTTGCTTACCACTTACAGAAAAATGTTAATGAGTTTATGCTGGCTCCTCTTGTGTAACACTAGATAGATGATGAGTACTGCAATTGAAACTTGATTTACATCTGCACCATGAATCATCTCTGGGATGAAAAGGAGAATATAAAGAATGTATTGAAGGTGTAAGCAGGCCGTGGGATGTCATTATTTTCTTATTACTGAGCATATTACTGAGTATCTCCACACCTTCGCCGAAAGCAAGGCAAGGCTGCTGCACACAAAAAAATTAACTGATTTTAAGGGTAATATGCATTAACCTGCCGATCAAATTTAATTGCTCATTAACCGAAGGTATTGGATTGCCATTCCAAATTGCTCCGGCCCTCTCTGACCCCCTGTCCTACCGCCTTGAGGTTGTTTTTAACTTGGCTAGATGCTGTGAAGTTTTTTTCCTTAACCAAGTAAACATTCTGCAATTGTGCGCTTTAGTTGTCTTCTGTAGTCTTTCAGGTCTTTTCTTGTTGGTGAGCTGGTCAGTGCATTCAGTCTTCTTAACAATGCACCAGACTGTTGATTTGGCCGCCCTTAAAGTTTTTGCTGGATTGCTTATAGGTTTATTTTGGGGTTTTTTTCCTGCTAATGGTGAAAGTTCTGCTTTGTCATGGGAGCAAAAATAGCTTTAATTCCTAAACAGTTAAAAAAAAAACCCAAAAACCCTTGAATTAAGGCTGAAAGTCTGTCCCTCAATCACATACTGCTTATTTGATTTCAAATGCACTGCAGAGGTGTGCAGAGGCATGTCTACAACAAGAAAAAAATAATGCGTCTTTGTCCAAAAACTTACAGATCTAACTGCATTGTGACTGTGTGGGCACAGTGTGTAGGCTCAATTCGTTATTGCAAGGGAGTTGATTGCTGATACAGAGTAAAAGTATACTGCGGGTGGTTAGCTAATTATGTGCATATCATGAGGGGATCAGCCTGCCAGTTTTAATCAGCACTGGTCTGTTACAAAAACTGTCCCACTGCTTCTGGCCTGCCCCTTTTATGTCACCAAAGTGCTTACAATGCCCACAGAACACTGCCACCATTCATTAGCTATTCTCTAATGCTAATTTCCCATTTGTAAGGACAAGCAATGCAACAGTCTTTCTCCGACAGGCAAACAGGATTTTAGCAAACTTTCTAACATCATGCCAGTAAATTGGTCCGCGAGCGTGAGCAGAAAACGTTGGGAGGAATTTTTTTAGTGCAGACGTGCTGCCAGTGGATTTGCATTGTACTGCTTGTTAGCCATTGTCAAGATTCTGTGCTAACAATCCCAAGCAAAGACCACTGTACCATTGTACATGAATAATTGATTTATTAGCAAAACAACTGCAGGGGACTGAGTCATGTTTTGTTGAGAGTGTCACAGGTCAGAGCTGGCTTTCTTTTTATGGACACAGCTGCAAAAGTCTGAGAGTTGTCAGCCTCCTCGTTAGCTTTTTTTTTCCTTTTGTTACTTTGGATGAGGCGTCTGACTGACTTGAAAGACGTGCGTCATGAATGTCCATCTGTGCAGCTGTCTCTGTGAAGAAAATCAGCAGTCTTTGACTTGTGGATGCCAATTGAAAGACGACACCAATTATTTGGGTTGTATTTGAAAGCGGAGATGTGGTGCGTGGCGTTGTTTTGGTTCTGAGACGACTCCATTTGGCCTTTCTTGACAGTGAACAGCAGGGTGTCAGGAGAGTTGTAGCAGTCATGCCCTCATTTCTCTTCAGGTTATTCTGGTCAAGGATAATTATGTCATGAACAATTGTGTGGCATGTATTTTTATCCCCTAATGTGTGAATCATGTTGCATTGTCAAACTGACTGAAGTGCTTTTTTTTTAAATACAATTTATTTTAATCACAGGCTGAGAAAGAATGTCTGAAAGGAGATCAGGTACATTGACTTTACTTAATTGTATTTTCTCTGAGGCATCCTGTACTATTGTGTTTTTACTTGCATTTTTTTGTAGGCATAAATGTCACAATTTGCTGTTTTCAGGGTCTCCAAGGTGAAAAAGGAGAGAAGGTAACAAATATTGTTCTTGAATTTGCTGCTGCAGAAGGTGCACATACCATGTTTTCAGTAAAGTACAGCTATTTGGTTTAGCAGCCAATTACCGAAGCACCATATGCATGCCCTTGCACAAGACATTGCTCAGCAGATACCTTGATTAACTTGCTAATAGTTTCTTATCAAGATACTTTGTAGAGTAATGGAATGAATATCTGATCAAGTGAGGCTGCAAATTACCCGTTCAAGAGACACTACTCATGTAAAAGCCATTCAGAAGTGAGAATGAAAGCTACAGCACTATCTAGTGTCTTCTATCCTTCATGAAGTTCTAACTAAGCTAATGCTGTATTTCCTATCACTGTAAATAAACCCACTAACCCACTATAAACCCACTAGCAGTCCACTGGTCTGTTGAGAACAGACCAGTTCTAGTACCGTTCTGCTTTGCCAATTGTAGTAGCCTTTTCACCATGATAGATGTCTTTTCCCTAGGGATCGGCTGGAGTGCCTGGTCGTCCAGGGGAACCGGGGAAAGAGGGCAAAAGGGTGAGTAAACAGAGACAGATCGCCAGTTGTGTGGCCTGGCTTGTGGTTGTACTCACGGAGAGGACCTGGCCTGGGGAGAGGCCAGGCAGCAGCTGAACGGCTGTTGTTGTTTTAGAGGAGGCAAAGATGATCTGTGGCAAGGGGATTG